CTGTGTGTACGGTTTACATTCGTTTAAATAACATGTTATTAAAAAAATAAAGTTTTTGTAGCAACATATCATGATCAATACAGCACATGCCTTTTTAAGATAAAAAAATACTTCACATACTCCTTATTGTCTAAAGCTTCATTTATATTAAGAAGAAGATCAGTTAGTGCTAATTATATAGTTATGTAGTTGAGTGCTTTTGTCTTAATCTAAATTGCTTTTCATGTCTAGAAAAAACACAAGAATGGTCGTCATGGAGGTAACTAAAACCAAAAAACATTTCCGTCAATCGGTGGGCATATATAGTTTCATGCATGTGGCAAACACGCAACATAGCAGAGAGGCAAAGGAAGAAGCCAAGGTGTATGGTAGCCCTCTATTGTGCAACCAAGTCTACAAACAACCAAGGAAATTAACCAATTGAAGATGATAATCAAGTGGTTCCTTTTATAAAAGGCCTATGGAATTAAGAGAAATCAGTAGTTACTCGGGGTTCAACAGAATTGTGAAGATGTATTCCAACTTTAAAAACAGTAATTCATATCTCACTTCAAATGTCAATAAACCTTTAAAAAAAAAAAATCAAAAAATTAATTCAGGGGCAATTTCAAAACCCTATGGTATGTCCAATGAAATCATGTTTGGATTACGTAATATGTCAGCTCTGTGATGTTTGCACATTTCAAAAGGTGAGGTACAAGGCTATCAAAATTAATTGCCTCTGGCTGGTATTTTGAAAGTAGCTGCCATTGGTCATAATTATACCTTGAGCTTGCATGGACTCCTAGCTAGGCCCCCTTTTGTAGTTTCAGGGAGATATCTTTGCAGAATACCTCTGCAAGTGCTATGAGTGATTAAATCGTAACAACACTGATCGATCGTGAAAGCGTTTGGATTCTGAAGGTGAAGGTCTAAGGGATTAATCTACCACTAGTTTGCAGACACAGACTCTAAATTTAACACTTTACCATAATTCCTAAGGCCTTGAGCAGAGCCTAGCTGTGTCAGTTTCTGGCTGTCACAGTAGCAGCAGAAGTACAGAACCTATGCAGTATGCCATTAGCCTAGTAGTCTTCAGAGTGCAGACACTATTATCCAAAAGAAGAACAAGAATTGTGTCTGCAAATTAATCTACCACCTCCTACCCTCCCCTAACACCTCCCCCCCCCCCCAACCCCTGCCCCCTCATATGGACAATATGTCCATCATCCTGTTTAACACAAGCGTGAGTACAATTATTTCTAAAGGTCAGAAAAAAGTATTTTTAACAGCCTGCCAAAGCCACGGCAACGCGCTTTTGAGTGGGTGGTTCCTCTAGGGGTGTGCAGGCAATTAAGACAAATTAAGATGTATTAGAGTAAATCTGCATCTAACTGTCAATTGGATCAGAAAAAAAATTAAAGAACATACCAAATGGAAATTCTCAGTAACGTTATAAAGTATTTATTCATTTACACATTTATCCAGAGATTTGAATAGAAGGTGAGGAAGGGGCAAGAATTACTTAAGGGAGGGGTAAAACAAGAAATGGGTTTAAGAATAGGGAACATTTAGCCTAGAGAAAGAGAGAAGAGACAAAGATAATGAGGTGCAATAACAGATTTATAGAAAGAGCCAGGGAGGGAGAGAGAGAGAGAGAGAATGAAGGGGAGTGGAAGTGAAAAAGAGCTAAAAACTTTTAATCTAATTTTTGAACTAAGCGACAGATAAAGAGAGAGAGAGAGAGGGTGGAAGAGAAAAAGGTCCAAGACTTTTTGTACTTTCTTTTTGAACTATTAAGTGACAGAGAGAGAGAGAACGAGAAAGAGAGGAGGGGGTGAAAGTGATAAAAAGTGAAGACATTTTTTTTTTTTTTTTTAAACTAAGCAACAGAACAGGATAATCAAAGCTCTTCAATTATTTAATTGCTTTTACTCCTCTCAAATTAGGAAGGACATTCTGTTACTTCCCCTAATTTTATTTAGTATTATGCAAGTTACATTGAGCAAAACAAATTAAAAGTTTCAAGCCTAGATTTCTTTTGGAGATCCTGACAAAAAATATTGAAACATAAAACAGTTATGAACCACACAACCCCCCCCCCCCCAAAAAAAAAAAAAAAAAAAAAAATCACCATCCAAAATAAAAAGACCTTGTTCCTGTCTCAACTTGATGAACTATAAGCGACCTTTTGTGACAGTACTTCAAGATTTTGAAATTATTTTCTTTTCTTCTTAGAAACTTGAGGCAAATGTTTTAAATCTCACGTTATACAATGACTGACACGCTAGACAACAAGCGAGGCGACTTCCTTCTACATGTAATTCGTGTCACGTGACCTTCTTAATCTCTTCTGGCAAATTGAGGAAACTGAAAACAAAAGTCTACACATGAATCGAGACCTCAAGTTCAGCAAGTCATCTCCCATAACGATCATCTCAAAATGCCCTTACAAACCATGTCTTAAAGATGAAGTTGAGTTCTGGTCATGCGATTGCATTGTGAAAGAAACGGTGTGGAACCGACAAGAAAAGGTTGATCATCTAGCATATAAGAATTTGTGTGTATTGCAAGGTTCCGAAATCATCAAAATGATAAGAAATTTGGCCAAGTCTTGGTAAAGTTACAAACACTTGCACAGAAAGATGTATATGGGACTACACGAACACGTGGCGTAAAAAGCCGGCCATCCGATTTTTACAATGTTACATGCATATTTATAATATGAAGGCATTTGAAGAGCCATGCTTTTCAGGGAACATGTCTTTACTGATGTTCTTCCACACTTGCATAATAAGAATGAGTAATGCTCACAAATTATTTTTCACCTCTTCCCAGAACTCAATCTTCTCTTTAAAGACGAAGCATAATGCAGAAGGTCATGGAATAGTATCCGCTATATGTTCTGAAGGAAATGTTCTAAATAGAAAAAAGAAAAAACAACAACAGCAAATTGCAAAGTTCACAGTTATGAGTGAGGGACAGGATCATGTGACATGTTTCTTCACTTTTTTTTGGTAATTTTCTGAACATGTTTGTAATTCTTTACGTCACTATGCACCAAAAGGAAAAATGTGTTACGTGTACATGTTAATTTCATGTTTTTTTTAATTAAAAAAAAACACCTTCATTCCTCTTTTAACCATAGTTTTCTTGAGATTCATCTGAAATAGAAAAAAAAATTAACATAGCATAAAATTCACCCACAATGTGTCTTTCTCAGCTAGTGAAAGTTAAGAAGACCGCATAAAGGCAGCATATGATGATATAAATGCATAGATCAAATTATATATACTCTAAATATACTCTAACGTTCAATTTTTGTATAATGTAGTGGTTGTTACTGGTATTTCAATGCAATGAATCCTTGCTAGTACAGTATTCACTATAAAACTTTAATTTCCTACAGTTGTCTACATTACAATTTGACTTTAAAATACTAAGTGCCTTCAGATTAAAACCTTTTGTTTTAAGACCCTCAGGAACCACTTGTTGCATCTTGACAGTGATGTGGATAATTCCGGTTGGCATGAACTCACTGGGAACTGAGAGTATCGTAAATGGTCCCACGTGTTTCATCGTAATCACATTTCGTGCAAAAGCACAACCACTTGACTATGGCTCTGGATCAAATCACTTTCAAGCCTTGCCTAGACAAATCGTCCCTGTTTTCACGAAGTAGTGAGGAAAATCATAGCGCAAGTGTATGTGATTTTCATTCACTACCGTCACTTCGTGAAAATAGGGACGAAATGTGATGCACTCTTAACCCTGTGAAGAATAACCCACACACCTTGAGGACCTATTTCACACTAACAAATTAATCAAAGAAAATTGTAAGGTGCCAAGTATGTTATTGTGATCATATTATGTGCACTTGGATTTGACTTTGGGTCAAATTACTTTGAAAAGCCGAGCATAGATGAACGTGAAACATTCTTAAACTTGTGGAGAATGACCACGCACCTTGGGGATCCATTTCACACCAATAAATTAATTAAAGAAAATTGAAAATGTTGCCTCGTGTTTTATCGTAATCACATTTCGTGTGAGAGGAAAACCACTTGGTTTTGAAATTTTGGCTCCAAATCAAATAACTTTCAAGCCTGGCCTGGATGAATGTGAAATATACTTACACCTGTGAAGAATAACCATGAACCTTGTGGGACCTTTTTCACACCAACAAATTAATGAAAGGAACTTGTAAATGGTGTTACATGTTTCATCTTTATCTTAATCACATCTCGTGCAGAGCAAAACCACTTTGTATTGGCTCTGGATCAAATTGCTAATAAAGCCTGGCCTGGATGAACGCGAACCATTCTTACGCCTGTGAAGAAAAAACCACACACCTTGGAGGATCCCTTTCATATCAAAAAGTTACTCTGGGTCAGTTCCTTCCATCTTGCGCTGGATAGGTGAAGAGAGGTGAGCCCCGGAAAAAAACAAACAAACACACACAAACAGCACTCACACATGCACACACACAAAAAGAAATGAAGCAAAAACAAAACCAAAGGCCAACGGTATATGTCCATAAATGAAAGAGACGAACAGCAAGATGTGCAATGGTCCATTCCTTTAAAGCCCCACTGCACTACTTATAGCTAATTGCATCCTCTATATAGCAAAAAATGCCTAAGTGGTTACCATGATCGCCTTTTTCTGATGTTAATTGAAAGCTGATATGATGAGATAACCACCTGTCAGTGACCATGCAGGGAGGTCTAATCCCTCCTGGCCAAACTAGTGCAGAGGTGCTTTTAAACAATTTCAATGGGTTCAAAGCTTTTTATAACATTAATGTCCATTTGCCTCCCTCCACCCAGGAGTAGTATGCGGCTACGTGGTAGAATTATCCTTGATATGCATTGTGCAATGATCACGGCTGCAGCTAAAGCCAGGCAGAGGGTAATCATGATAATTTCCAATAAAGCTCTTTGTAAGTATATCTACTGTAGGATGTTATACCAGAACGCGATATGCAGTCTAAATTTATCGCTACTGTACGATGTTCCTACCTATTTTGACGGTGCCCATGTAGTAAATCTGTGCACTCAGTCCAAGACAGGTCAGCATATGAACGAAGAAGAAGATGACATAGAAATAGATTGATGCAATGAAGACCTGAAGGAAAGGATGATAAAAGTGTAAAAAAAACAGTAATTAACAGCAATAAATCATAAATATTCCATAGGATAGGTATAAAGTTCATGTATGAATGGAAGAAGAAAAAAATAGAAATAAAGATCATCACATCAATAAGAACCAGGATTTGATAACATTTGATGTATTAGATATGCAAATAGAGAAGAGGTGTGGAAAAAATTAAACTAACAAATTACAAGAAAACCTAATTTCAATAAAATACAAGAGACGTAAACAAATTTTAAAACAATAAACAAAATATTGAGGACAGGACCTACATGTATGTTGCTCTAGTGCACTCACAACACTACATGTACATGTACAATAATGCATTCCGTCATTGCACTGTTTTAATGGCACTACGAGTATGGATAGAGCCCCAGATGACGATTTGTTTTCCTCCCCCTCTCCAGACTGGGGATTATTTGACCTCATTTGGCACACCCTAAAAACCTACTCCTGATTATCCCGGCCCTCATTTGGGCCTGAGTTTCTGATTCACTTGGATGAAATTATCTAAACTCATCACACCCCCTAATTAAAAATATAAGTATGCACTTAATTGAAACAATCTGGAATAGGACGGAACCCAGAGAGAGAGAGAGAGAGAGAGAGAGAAAGAGAGAGAGAGAGAGAGAGAAAGAGAGAGAGAGAAAGAGAGAGAGAGAGAAAGAGAGAGAGAGAGAAAGAGAGAGAGAGAGAGAGAGAGAGAGAGAGAGAGAGAGAGGGTGGAAATTGAGAAGGGATGAGAGGCACACATGCATGGAATATAAAGTTGAACAAAAAATTATGAGAGAAATATGAGAGAAATATGAGACAAATATGGTGAAAGCTGGAATAAATGCCTGAAACATGTGATATAGCGAAATCGGGGTCAAAGCTGGAAAAAATATGCTTAGAGTGAAAGGATACATAAATGTATCATCAGACAAAGGGAGGGGGGTGTGCATTAGGGAGAACATGAAATGTGAAGAAGACTATACCGTAATAATCAATTACAACAGAAATAAAAGATAAATCTTATAATAATGAAAAACAATAAATACTGACAAGAAAAAAAGAACAATGATTTTTATTTTTCTGATTACAAACTATTCAAAATAAGCCGCCTCCTCCTCCTCTCTCCTCCTCATTATCCTCATTGATCATTACCATAGATCATCATCATCATCATCATAGATCATTATCATCATCATCATCACCACCACCTCTACCATCGCGTTAGTATTTACCAATGATCAATTACAACTGATCACTGAACTCAGGAATGTCTGTTTCATCATTATCATCATCAGCAGCAGTGCCAGCAGCAGAAGAAACGTCATATTCTATTCTTATTCATAAATTGCAACACCCCATATCAACAAACTGCAAGTATCTAATCTATACTCTTGACAAGTAAAAGTATCAGCAAGAAAAAACAAAATCACCCATTTGATCTAATTTCTTCTCCCCTTGCAAACGTACATGAAAACAACATTCTCATGGCCCAGTTTCTCACCTCACCTGCCAAACCTGACACCCTCACGAACCCCCAGACACCCTCCAAAACCCCCGAAACTACCTCAAAGTACAAGGCCCCACTTTCCAAGACTGTCTTGCCATTCAAGATAACACACATCCACATCCTGGTGTTGTCCATCTGAACATCCGATCACCCTCCTAAAACAACTCAGAAATGGAGATAAAGAAGAAGAAACAAGCAAAGGCAGCTGCAAGGAAGATATCTTGTACCAAGTCCCAAGAGCAGTACGTGGCTCCAAAGACTTTCGGTGATGCACGTGTCGATAAACCCCCCTCTGTGGTTGTTCTGTTTAATAACAGGGCTCTGTTTCACAAAACTTGTTATCAATAACAAATGCTAAATTTCTATGAAAAATTTGCTCTCAGCCAATCGAATGCCATCATTTCAGTAGCTTATAACAGCTACTGTAACTTGTTGTCGATAACAAGTTCTATGAAACAGGACCCAGTTCTTACGTCTGATAAGGGTTCAAGCCAAGTGCCATTGTAAATGATGCCTGATCCATTTATTCATGCAACAACAAAATCCTTCAGATATGTTTTGATCTTGACACTTGGGCAAGACTGAGAACTTTAAAAGCCAACTGCATGGTATGTCACTTGCTTCGTGGTAATTTCCTACACTCTAAACAAATTCTAACTTTAACTCTGGACCTAATACTAAACCTTACCCTAAGTGAAGCAACAGTTTTTAAAAAGGGAAGGAAAAAAGGACTTGCCCGTTCAAGGCATAACATTTGTCTTCATGATACTGACATTCAAACTTAAGAAAAGTATTAACTTTTCCTCGTATACCTGAATGATACATTTTACTCATCAGTTGTAGAGGTATGTTTCTTAAAATAGCTACTCAAACAATTTCACTTATTCTATTTACTTATATCCAAATCAAGACAACAATATTATGTAATCTTCAAAATACAAACATACAAACATACATGTATCACGAGATATCTGAAGTGTGAGGATCATGAAAAGCACATAAATGGCTTGTTAAAAATGATCCTCACAAAATGTAGCAATTATTGGTAGCTAATTTGCATACAGTGGTTTGCATACATCAGGGTTAGGGTAAGGTTTACGTTAAAGGTCATTTTCAGAAACATGCCTATACGGCTAATTAAATAATACCTAGTCTGAATGGGACCTATGCACGCACCTGTGGTAGAGGGAGCTATCATCACGAGAATTCCCAGATGGAGCTAGGCACCTGTAAGAAGATCTCTATGCCACGGGGAGGCGGAGATAAGGCGTGCGCTTGATCCTGCATTCCACGCTCATTGTAAACATCAACAAAGTCAGGCATCCCCGACTGGGAATTAATTGCTGATTCATAGCAAAGGGGATGAATGCAGAAGTGTTGATAGTGGAAGAGCACTCTTCGTAATAAGAGCTATTTATTATACTCAATTCTAATCAATTTAAAAAAAATTGCATTCTTACATTTTGTTTCTTCTCTTTTTCGTTGTAAATATTTAATACTGAAAAAGATCATTCCTTTTTGTTGTTGTTGTTGTTAATTTTTGATACTGAATAAGATCTGTTTGACTCAAAATAATAAGTAAGGTAAACCTCTTTGTGTACAATTTTTAATTTTGTCTAACATTCTTAAATTGATCAACCATAAGAATAAAAGAAAATTTGTATTTACTCAATTTATTATGTAATGGATTAGGCCCCATATTGTGGATAAAACAAGAGGTAAGAAAGACACTCGAGTAATGGGAGTATTACCATATCATATATTTTCTTTCTCTTTTTATTTCATGTGTCTTTCCCCCATTCCTCTCTAATGCTTTCCATTTACATCATCTTTATTTATTTTATTTTTTTTTTATTTCTTCATATCTTTATTCATTTATTTATTCATTTATTTATTCATTTATTTATTAATTAACTCACTAATTAATTAATTTATTTATTCATTCATTCATTGTTATACTATCTTTATTACTATCATTATAATTATCATTATTATCACTATCATTTAAAAAAATTGTTGTGGGGGGGGGGGGGTGGTGGAGGGAACTGTTCCAGTTAGCTACACCACTGGTAACAGATGTTCAATGTAATACCATAATCATCCTTGTTCTATGTCAAGTTTAACAACGCCAACAGGTGAATGTCCGTTCAGTTAAACCTTCCTTGTTCCGTCTCAGGAAACTCATCTATTCTTAGACCGAAAGGGATGTCCAAGTTACCTTCATTTCATGCCGATTCATGCACATGGAAGGTCAAGTTTCCTATGACCTTCTGAGCATCAGTAGTGAGTGAATCAAAAGCTATTATTCTATGACACATACATTATATGATCCAGCGACAATCGCTTCACGGCGGTCCATTTCCTAACTTACAAGTGTAACTCATTTAAGATTGGGGCCTCAACACATACTGCTGGTACATTATCAATACTTTTATGATTATCAAGAAACTGAATCACTGGATGAGGGTGAGTGGAGGTTGACGTTCCATCAAAAATCTGAAATAAATCATGACGAGTTTTATGTTTTCTGTTTGTTAATTTTCAAGGTACACATGTACATGAAAATGAGGGAAACCCAAGGAAAGAGGGAGAAAGACAAAAAAAAAGTCTGAAGTTCAAAGATCCAAAAGCCATGACTAATGTATCCAGGGAGAAAAGACTGTGACAATTCAGGGTAAAGTAAATGGGATGACAAATTCAGCAACCTGTCAAATTATTCAAAGACAAAGACAAATGGGCTCATCAAAAACTAGAAAAAAAGTGATTGCTTGCTTCCTAGTATTCTACTAGAACAAAGGGAAAATATCTGTCCTCCATACCAAAAAAAAAAAAAAATCCTAGCTAAGTTCACAAAAAAGTCTGTTTACATTAAGTTTACATAGCATGTGGTTTTAAACTTTGAGGGTAATATGCACAAGGACTGTATTGACACACATTTAAAAACTCTATGTTTACTTGAATATAGAGTTTATTAAACCAAGAGCCATATGGTTAGCACTGTAACACTCATTGTTACTGTTCGGTGTGAACCTGTGTCAGTGCTGCAGCCATTGTTTAAAACTTTACAGTTTTGCAAACCTAACATTTAAATCAATTACGCTCCCACATGTACGTAGCTACTGTCTTTAATGTCAATTTTGCATAAGGGTGGATCTCAAGAATGATGATTCACAAACATCAAACCATCAGAATCTGAAGATGAACAGTAAAATGTTCTTTTGACTAAAGCCATGTGACGGAACACTTGGTTCCACTCCTCAACACCAAAAGTGACATGTGATTTGGGAGTTCCGCACATTTTCTTTTGACTAGACAGATCTCTTGGGGAACCCTTTCAGAGAGTCTTCCATAAATTTGAGCAAAAAAGAGAGACAATATGGAGAAGAAAGTGTAGTGCATAATGTAATGTCATGTAGATGATGAGGAACACACAAGGAAAGCAGATAGATAACATATTTGATGAGATA